CTCTTGCATACTCACAACTGTAAACCTACTTTTTAAAACATTTTATTTTTTCCCATCACTATTTATCCCCCTATACCAGTGGTCGGCCAACTGCAGCTCGCGAGCCACATGCGGCTCTTTGGCCCCTTAAGTGTGGCTCTTCCACAAAATACCACGTGGGGGCGTGCATGAACAGTGCGATTGAAACTTCGTGGCCCATGCGCAGAAGTTGGTATTTTGTGGAAGAGCCACACTCAAGGGGCCAAAGAGCCGCATGTGGCTTGTGAGCTGCAGTTTGCCAACCACTGCCCTATACCATCAACCACCTCCCCGCTCCTCCCTTCCCCTGCCAATCACCACACTGTTATAGATGTCCATGAGATTTTTCTCTTTTTCTTCTTTTTCTGCTTGATCCCTCCACACCCCAGGCTTACCACAGGACCACTGCCGAGAGCTGTCAGCCTGCTTTCTATCTAGGAGTCTGTCTATATGTTGCATTAGTTCAGTTTGTTCAGTAAATACCACATATAAGTAAAAAAATTATCAAATTAACATATTGTATATCTTAAAATTAACATAATGTTAAATATTAATTATTTTGAATAAAGCTATAAATAAAGAAATAAATAATGCTTGGCACAGAGTTGGAGCTCAGTTGATGTGGGAATTCTCAGTGTCAGACTCCAAGCAGCTTTATGGAAACATCCATGTGGGTAATCATATATGTGACATGACAACCCATTCATTAAGTGGACTTTGCAACTGTCTTAAAAAGTTAGCAATAGCATTAGATTATTTGAAAAAAGTACAGATGTTAAACAGTAATAACTCTAAATCAGTTTTCACTTGACTAAAGTTTTTAAGTCCGTATTTGTGAACCCAATCTATATACATAAAAGCCTAAGTGACTGTTAAGACTGAATGACCAAAATGACCAAACAACTGGTCAACCAGTCGCTGTGACACACACTGACCACCAGGGGGCATATGCTCAATGCAGAAGCTTCCCCCTGGTGGTCAGTGCGCTCCCACAGCCAACCCCCTGCAGCCCCTCCCCTCGGCTGGCCAACATCCCATGGCCCCTCCCCCCCATAGGCCTCAATCACTGGCCAGGCCAAGGGACTCCACCCATGAATGAATTTGTGCGCCAGCCTCTAGCATTGAAAATAATGTTAGATTCATAAAGTTCCTTTCTTGCATCATTACTAATGGTTTTTTTAAAACCTTTATTATTGAAAGTATTACATGTCCCCCTGTTCCCCCACTGACCCCTTCTAATCCGCACCTCATCGCTGCCCCAGGCCTTCACCACCATACTGGCTGTGTCCATGGGTTATGCATATGGTATATGCATACAAGTTCTTTGGTTGTTCTCTTTCCACCAACCCAACCTCCCCTGCCTTCCCTCTGAGATTCCAGTATGTAACATGCTTCTATGTATCTGGATCTATTTTATCAGGTTTTTTTTTTATTAGATTCCACATTTTAGTGTATTTCTCTGACTGGCTTATTTTGTTTAGCATAATACTGTCCAGGTCCCTCCATGCTGTCTCAAAGGGCAAGAGATCCTTCTTTTTCTCTGCTGCATAGTATTCCAAGGTGTAAATGTACCACTGTTTTGTTTTTTTATCTACTCATTTACTGGTGGGCACTTGGGCTATTTCCAGATCTTAGCTGTTGTAAATTGTGCTGCTATGAACATAGGGATGCATACATTCTTTATGATTGGTTTTTCTGGAAGAAGTATCACTGGGTCAAATGAGAATTCCATTTTTAAATTTTGAGGAAACTCTATACTGCTTTCTATAATGGCTGTAACATTCTGCATTCCACCAACAGTGCACTAGGGTTTCTTTTACTCCACATCCTTGCCAGCACTTGCCATGAGTTGACATGGTAGTCATTCTGAACGGTATGAGGTGATACTTCATTGTAATTTTAATTTGCATCTCTCTGATGTTCAGTGATTTTGAGCATTCTTTTCCTATGCTTCTTGGTCATCAGTTTGATCATTGGAGAAGTGTCTATATAGGTCCTTTTCTCATTTTTCAATTGAATTGACTGTCCTTTTGTTAAGTTATATGAGTTCCTTATTTATTTTGGATATCAACCCTTTATCAAATGTATCATTGCCAAATATGTTCTCCCATACAGTGGGATCCCTTTTTGTTTTGTTGATTGTTTCTTTTGCTGTGCAGAGGCATATTATTTTGATGTAGTCCCATTTGTTTATTTTTCCTTAGTTTTGTTTGCCTTAAGAGATGTATGTATCTGTACATATATTGCTACAAGAGATAGCTGAGATTTTGGTGCTTATGGTTTCTTCTAGGATTTGCATGGTTTCACAACTTACATTTAAGTCTTTTATCCAGTTTGAGTTTATTCTTATGTATGGTGTAAGTTGGTGGTCTAGTTTCATCATTTTTGAATGTATTTGTCCAGTTTTCCCAGCACCATTTATTGAAGAGACTGTCTTGACTCCATTGTATACTCTTGCCTCCTTAGGGAAATATTAATTGAACATAATGGTTTCAGTCAATTTCTGGGGTATCTGTTCTGTTCCATTGATCTATTTGCCAGTTCTTGTGCCAGTACTATATATGTTATTATGATTGCACCAACTTTTTTCTTTCTCAAGATTGCTGCATCTATTTGGGGTCTCTTTTGGTACCATACTTTTGAAGTATTTGTTCAAGATCTATGAAATATGTCACTGGTATTTTAATAGGAATTGTGTTGAATCTATAGGTAGCTTTAGTTGATATGGAGATGTTAAATGTTAATTCTACCAGTCTTTGAATATGGTATATTCTTTGACTTGTTTACATCTTCGTCTATCACTTTTTTCAATGTCCTTTACTTTTCTGTGTGTACAAGTCTTTTACCTCTTTGGTTAAGTTTATTCCTAAATATCTTATTTTTTTTGTTGCAATGGCAAATGTGATTGCTTGCTTAATTTCACTTTCTGAGAATTCATTACTAATGTATAAAAATGTCATCTATTCCTGGGTATTAATTTTGTATCCTGCTATGATGCTGAATGTATTTATTAAATCTAGTAGTTTTATGGTGGGGTCTTATGGTTTTTTATGTACTAATCATGTGATCTGTGAATACAGTTTTACTTACTACTTACCAATTCAGAGGCCTCTCATTTCTTCTTGTCTGATCGCTGTGGTTGGGACCTTCAATACTATGTTGAATAGGAGAGGTATAAGTGGACATCTCTTTCTTGTTCCTGTTCTTAGGAGAAATGATGGAATTTTTTCCCATTGAATCTAATGTTGGCTGTTGGTTTGTTATATATGGTATTTATTATGTTAAGGTATGGTCCCTCTATTCCCACTTTTCTGGGAGTTTTTATCAAAAAAGGGTACTGGATCTTGTCAAATGCTTTTTCTGTATTTATTGATATGATTATGTGGTTTTTAACTTTTAATTTGTTTATGTCATGTATCACATTTATGGGTTTGTAAATATTGTACCAGTCTTGTATCCCTGGAATAAATCCCACTTGGTCATGGTGTATGAACTTTTAATATATTGTTGGATCTGATTTGCTAATATTTTGTGGAGGATTTTAACATCTATGTTAATCAGGAATATTGGCCTGTAATTCTCTTTATTTGTGGTATCTTTATCTAGTTTTGTTATTTCATCAATTGTTATTGGCCTTTTCAGGTTTTCTGATTCAGTTTTTGGAGATGGTATTTTACTAGGAATTTGTCCATTTCATCTACATTGCCCAGTTTGTTGGCATATAGTTGTTCATAGTATTTTCTTATAATCCTTTGTATTTCTATGGTGTCAGTTGTTACTTCTCCACTTTTGTTTCTGAATTTATTCATTTGGGTCCTCTCTTTCTGTTTCTTGATAAGTCTGGCTAACGGCTCATCAACCTTGTTTATCTTTTTAAAGAACCAGCTCTTGTCTTCATTGATCCTTTGTAATGTTGTTTTAGCCTCAATGACATTTATTTCTTCTCTAATCTCTGTTATTCCCTTTATTCTACTTACTTTAGGTTTTTCTTGTTGTTCTCTTTCTAGTTCTTTAAGTTATAGAGTTAAATAATATTGTTATTAATTTTTTTCTTGCTTTTTGAGTTAGACCTGCAGTGGTATGAGCTTCCCTCTCAGGACTGCTATTGCTGTGCCTCAGAGATTTAGGTTGTTGTGTATTCACTTTCATTTGTTTCCAGGAAGATTTTTTTTTAATTTATTTCTTGATCTCATGGGCAACCCATTCATTATTCAATAGCATGCTATTTAGCCTCAATCTGTTTTTGCTGTAGTTGATTTCAAATTTCATTTCATTGCAATGTGAGAAGATGCTTGATATTACTTAAGTATTTGTGAACTTGTAGAGACTTGTTTTGTGTCTTAACATGTGGTCCTTCTTTGAGAATGACCCATGTGCACTTGACAAGAATGTATATTCCAAAGATTTTGGGTGAACTGCTCTATGAATGATAATTAAAGCCATCTGATCTAGTGCATCATTTAGAGTCACTGTTTCCTTGTTAAATTTTTTGTCTGGAAGATCTATCCAGTGAAGTAAATGTGGTATTCAAGTCCTTTACTATGATGATATTGCTGTTGATCTGTCCCTTAAGGTCCCCCATAAGTTTTTTGTTTATTTGTTTTCTGAGTTTTTTTTATAAATGTATATTTAGGTGCACCCATATTGGGTGCATATAAATTTATCATGGTTATCTCCTCTTTTTGCATTGATCCCTTTAATATTATGTAGAGACCTTTATTGTCTCTTGTGATGTCCTTCATTTTGAAGTCTATTTTGTCAGTTATGAGTATTGCTACTTCAGCTTTTTTTTCCTTCCATTTATATTTGCCTCAAAACCTTTTTTCATTTCTTCATTCTAATTCTGTTTGTGTCTTTTGAGGTGGGTCTCTTGTAGACAGCATATATTTGGGTGATATTTTTGTACCCATTCAGCTACCATATGACTTTTGATCAGAGCATCTAATCTATTTACATTTAAGATGATTATTGAGGTTCCATTGAGCTGCATCCAGCGGCCGCGGGGGCGGTGGCTCCCCCTGGGGGCGGCTCAGCAGCATACACCGCCGTCTGCCTGGTGGGGTTCTGAGGGTCAGGCAACATGACGACGGAGACCTTGGTGAAGGATATCAAGCCGGGGCTCAAGAATCTGAACCTCATCTTCATTGTGCTGGAGGCAGGCCGAGTGAACAAGACAAAGGACGGTCACGAAGTTCGAACCTGCAAAGTGGCAGACAAAACGGGCAGCATCAATATCTCCGTTTGGGACGACGTGGGCAACCTGATCCAGCCTGGGGACATTAACTGGCTCACCAAAGGGTGCGCTTCAGTGTTCAAAGGTTGTCTGACATTGTACACTGGTCGTGGCGGTGATCTTCAGAAGATTGGAGAACTCTGTATGGTTTATTCTGAGGTTCCTAACTTCAGTGAGCCAAACCCAGAGTACAGTGCCCAGCAAGCACCCAACAAGATGGTGCAGATCGACAGCAGCCCTGCAGCTCCCCAGCCTACCGCTGGACCCCCTGCTGTTTCTCCAGCCTCTGAGAGCCAGAACGGGAATGGACTGAGTGCCCCACCAGGCCCTGGTGGTGACCCACAGCCCCCTCACACTGCTTCCCACCCCCCCAGCACCCTAATTACCCGAAACCAACCCAACCACACACCTGCTGGCCCTCCTGGCCCCTCCAACAACCCTGTCAGTAACGACAAAGAAACCCGGAGAAGCAGCAAGAAATAGCAAGACAATCTTCCTCCCTCCCCACCACTGACTATATACCAAGTGTCTGCTAGAGAACACAGCCTTTACTGGGCTGCTGGCTTGGGGGTGAGAAGGGATAGGTAGCAATATTAGCAATATTTTAGCCACTAAACTTCACTAAAAGGGTGGTGAGAAGAGGCCTTATCCAACCTACACTCATACTCACCCCTTTACCCAGCTGAAGCTGCCTGTGCCCTGGGATTAGGGTCTCTGCCTGCCCTTCTTCCTCTTCAGAAATGAGTTATGGTCTGTTTCTCGTATGTGTGTGATGTGGAAATCTAATTGAATCCCTTCTTCCCAATAAATGTTACTACTCTGGAAAAAAAAGATTATTATTGATAGAGACTTATTTATTGACATTTTAATTCTTTATGTCTATGTTTCTTACGATATATTATTTCTTCTTTTCATTACAGCAGTCCTTCTATAATTTCTTGCAAGGCTAGTTTTCTATTTTTATTGATAGCCTTGCTGGATATAATAATCTTGTTTTCAGATCCTTGTTTTTCATTAACTTGAATACTTTATGCCATTCTCTTCTGTCCTGTAGTTTCTCATGAAAAATCAGCTGACAACCTTATGGGATCTCCTTTGTAGGTAACAGTTTGCTTTTCTCGTGCTGCTTTTAAGATTCTCTTTCTGTCTTTATTTTTTGGCATTTTAATTATGATGTGTCTGGGTGTGGGCCTGTTTGGGTTCTTCTTGCTTAGGACTCTATGTGCCTCTTGAACTTGTGTGACTTTTTCCTTCATCAGTTTAGGAAAGTTTTCTGCCATTATTTCTTCAAATAAATTCTCTATTCCTTGCTCACTTTTTCCCCCTTTTGGCACTCTTCTGATGCAAATATTGTTAAGTTTCATGTTGTCCCACAGCTCCCTGAAACTATCCTCCTGTTTATTAATTGTGCTGTGTTATTTTTTTTTTTCTTTTTGGTTCTCTGATTGAATGATTTACTTCTACCCAATCTTCTAATTCACTGATCCAATCCTCAGCTTCCCCTAATCTGCTGTATATCCCTTCCAATGTGTTCTTTATTAATGTTATGTAATTCTTCATTTCTGACTTTTTTATAGATTTACTATATCTTTTCTCATCCCTGTCATAATTTTTTTGAGTTCTATATCTGATCAATTTCTTTTTTCATTAATAACTTTTTATTTATTTTTATTGATTTCAGAGAGAAATGGAGAGGCAGAGATAGAAACATCAATGATGAAAAAGAAAGAATCATTGATCAGCTGCTTCCCCCATAACCCCCCGCCACCACCACCACCACCAACTGGAGATCAAGCCAGCAACCTGGGCATGTGCCCTTGACTAGAACTGAACCTAGGACCCTTCAGTCCACAGGTTGATGCTCTATCCACTGACCCAAACCAGCTAGGACTGATCAATTTCTTATTTCCATTTTATTTATATCTTCTTTTGGATAATTCTCTTTTCCTTTCATTTGGGGCTTATTTTTTGCCTGCCCATTTTGACTGCCTATTTGGGGTGGGTCAATGTATTAGGTAGATCTGCTGCAACCCCCAATCTCTAGTGCAGGACAATGTCAGATGCTGTTTGTGTGTGGCCTGAATAGGCTGTTTTTAACTATCAGCAATCCACAACTTTTGGCTCCCTCTGCTGGGGCTGGATGACTTTGGAAAGTACCAAGATGTGCACCAGGGCCTGGTTTTCTTAGCCCTGGGCCCAGTAGGAGATCAGGCAAAGACTCAAAGCCTCCAGAGATCTGTCTCTACCTGCTGCTGATTGACCCTCAATCTTTAATAGCCCCAGGTTATTGACCACAGGGTGTGGGGAAGAGGTCTTCCAACTAGATGAGACAACTGCTTTCCCCCACTTCCCAGGCAAAAAACACCTGAATAGCAGAAGTTTGCCAGATAAAGATGTCTTCCACAGCATGAGGGAATGACCCAGCACAGGACACTGGGGTGGCTGCCTTCTCAGCTCCAATCCCAGAGCCCCCATTCCTGATTCTCCTCACACAGCTCTAGTGCACTCTGCCCTCCCTCTGCCAGAGTGCAAGGTGAGTGGCTGCACATGAAATTTTGTGCATTGGCCCTTTATGAGGGTGCTTGCATGCCCAGCTGTCTCTGGCTGGTAGACAGCAATCCTGCTGCTTTCCACAGCCAAGTGTTCCGTGGGCTCCTTTTTCAGTTTTGGTGTTCTAGGCTGGGGAGTCCAGCTTGGGGTTTAGACTCCATAGCTCTTAATGGGAACCCCCACCCCTGAGATATCCCTCTGGAATTTCAGCTGCTGTCTGTGGGAGCCTGGCCAACCAGGCCTCCACCTTTCCTACCAGTCTCTATGTGGTTTCCACTCTCTGTCCTGGTTATTGGGCTCTCCAGCTAGTCTTCAGTTGATTTTTCAGGGCGGTTTCTGTATTTCAGTTGAATTTCCAGTTTGGTCCTGGGAGAGTGTCAGTGTAGCTTCCACATACTTTGCCGCCATTTTGGAATCTCTGACCTGCCACTAGTGATATGTTTTTAATCATTTAAAAATTCATGTGTGAGTGGGTGGGAAGAGTTCAACCAAAGTATTTGTATACATTATACATAACCCATGGATACAGACAATAGGGTGGTGGAGGCCTGGGCTGGGGTGCAGGGATGGGGTATAAGGGATCAATGGGTAAAAAGGAGTGACATATATAATACTTTCAACAATAAGTATTAAAAAAGAATCGGTGGCATCTCTTCTTAATAAAAGTTATGATATCATACTGTAAAATGTGAATCTAAAGCATCAGGTAATTTGTAATTAGCTTCCAGCTCCAATTGAGTGAGGGGAGCTTGAAAATGAACTATCTATAATCAGGCCACCTGGAATCACAAAGTAAAAATCAGCCTGTTGGTATTTGCATTCTACTCTGAACTACCTTATACTTCTAGTACTCACAGAAATGAACATAAAACTGAGAAAGCTGTCAGTTTTCCCATGCAAGCATAGTCTCCTGACCTTTACTTTGTCACTTTAGCACTGTATTTAAACATTCAGAATAGACAAAACCACATTTCCAAAAAATACATGAAGCAAGTAAAAATATTTACTCATTTTTAATTTATTAGTACCTACTGTTCATAAAGATGTTAAAAACTGGGAATACAATAGTAAATATATCTGAAGAGGAACAAATGACTAATGGGAACTTACCGTGAATTTAAGGACTTGAATTATGACCGTCCTATAATTTTTCTAGTCTCAAAGTGGTTGTTTATTCAAACGATGCCTAAATGTTTCCTTTAGTAAATGTAAATGTAAACAAGATTCTATCCTTACTGTGATGCACAAGTTATACTGAATTAAGCATTCCACATTTGTGCATATAAGATCCATATAATTGCATTTTCACTTACAAATGGTTACAGAGACCAGAAGAATTTTGTGTCATATCCATAAGGAATAGCATTGTAATCTGAAGCACAAGTTGATCGCCTATCTATTCTGTTGGAGTACTGATCATTACTGCAATGGAGAAGGGACCTACGTCATATTTAGAAACCGCTGGTCTCGTTCCCTACTTAAAAATTACAAAGCTGATTTCCCAAAGCCACATCTTTACCAGTGGCTCTTAAAGAGTGCTTCCCAGGCTAGCGCACTGATATCATCGGGAACATGTTAGAAATGAAGTGAAGGGCCTCATCTACACCCATTTGAACCAGAACCTCCTGATATGGGGTTCAGCGACTGTGTTTTAACTGGCTTTGCAAGTGATTCTGGAGGACATCCAAGTTTGAGGGTCATAAATTCAATCTGAAGTCAATCCTTTGGATTGGTGTTTCCAATCCAGGTTTCACACTCTCTAGAACTGCACATTCCATCCTGAGAGTTAGTAGTTAGCGTGTGTATTGGTCATTCGAATAATACCTCATTGTTGTTTTAATTTGCAATTCCTAATGGCATATGGTGTGGAGCATCTGTTCATGTGCCTACTTGCCATCTATATCTTCTTCAGTTTAGGTGTCTGTTCAGGTCTTTAGCCTTTTGCTTATTGGGTTGTTAAGTGTATCATTGACTTTTAAGAGCTATTTTTAAAAACTATTTTGGAAAAAAAGTCCATTGCCAGATATTTTTTTTGCAAATATTTTATCCCAGTCTGTGGCTTGTCTTCTATCTTAATTAATAACATTTTAATATTGATTGCATGTTGAAATAATTAATTTGATATATTTGATTACATGAAATATATTACTAAAATTAGTTTTACTTTTTTATATTTACTTTTCTTAATGTGACTACTAGAAAATTTAAAAGTTCATATGTGTCTTACATTTTTGTTACATTTCTATTTATATTAGACAGCACTGTCCTTGAGCCTTTCATTTCTCTCTTGAACAATCGCCCATTTCAAGGTGAGGCATGATACAGAAAGCAATGGTGTCAGGAGTTCTGTGATAAATATAATAAGGAAGTAAAATGAAGTGTGAAAACTGTAGAAAAGGACTTACTGAAAGAATTCTTTTATGTTACTGTAGTCAAGAAAAATATACTGAAATGTATTTTATATCAAATATCTATTATGATTACAGCTTCATATCAGGAGCTGAATGTCAAACATGGCTTTCATTTCAAAACTCGCATGTTTTACTCTTTCTTAAAACCATGTTTTGGCCTTCTTCATCAGAAGCTCTTGGACTTGTCTGTGTCCCTGGTCCTCTTGCTTTGTTGGCAGCTGTCGGCGCTCATGCAGATGCTCTCTGTGGAAGACCCAGAGGCGCTGGCTCCTGCTACCACTGGAGACTGAATGAAGAACCACATAGGGGGTGGGGTCTTGTTGCCCATGAAGCTGCCTGCACAGTCACTTGAAGCAATCAGAACCACAGGGAGGGGAGAGGGGGTTGCCCCGGGATTGATTTTGATCAATAGGAAACAGAAAAGGGCAAGCATGCGCAGATACTGCCTTTCATCCTTTCTTTCCTCCTCCTCCGGCAGAGCCCTGTGGAGAGGTCTTTCACATGTGCTTCTGTGGGTCTTCAAAAACAGAGGCTGGTTGCCATAGCCACCTCCCTGCCACCACACTCCTTCCTCAAGTGCCTGCTCCCACAAACACTGGACTCCAAACCTGGGATGTGAATGCTAGGCGGGGCAAAGGGAGGATGGAAACCGCAAAGTTAATGGACCATGAAAAGAGGCCAGGATTCTGAGTCAGACACCTCATTGCATGGGGTTAATGTGTGGTGTGAGCACAGCAAGATCCATTTCTTCAGGTTGTTTTTCATAAGTGTTTATTTCAAATTAAAGGTCTTTTTTCATTTCAATCTTCCATGCAAATTCAGGAAGATTGACTTTCCAAGTGTTATTTCAAAAATACAGTT